CCAAAGGCCCTGTGTAGAGGTATGGCCAGTTCACCATTTACTTGGATTGGTTCATTACAGTGCACATTTGATGAAACTCAAGAACACTTCTTTGTCTCAGCCCTAGGTCCAAAGTCAGTCCTGGCCAGCCTAAAGAACTTCTACTGAGAGAAAAAAACTACCTGTGTATTATTTTGAAATGATTCTCCTTCGTAGTTTATTGCCAGGCTAGATATTACAGATCATTTACCTGCTTCAAATATAAACTTGGAGCTGTCTTCTATTTAAGTAGGGGGTGGCTTTAAATAAAAAGAATGAGCCAGGGACAACAAAACAAAGGTTCCCTCAGATCCTAACAAGTGCTGAAGGTCAGTGGGTTTCACAGTCTGAAAAACAGCAAACCAGTGTACCCAGTGACAATGACTACAGCTGCATTTGTGCAGCTTTGCTTGGTACAAAGTCTCTGGGCTGAAACTAAGTTCTTCTTTCTCTATCCCTGTGTCCCAGGAAGAGGGCTGTTGGGTAGAGAGTAGTCTTGTTAGTCTGGAGGAAGAGCTCGCTTTCTCTAAATTCCTCACAATGTCCTGAATTCCCACAATGGCTCTGATGCGGTCCTACCACAGCCATTAGAGTTTAGTGATTGATTCCAGTATTATCATACCCTCTCTCCGAGCACACAGATCTTTTCTGTTTTTCTCTGTTTCTACACTAAGCCCATCAATGTGCGATAGCTGCACCTTAGTGACTTTGTGAGCCTACCCCGAAAATATTTTGTCCTAACATAATTAGAATATGTGCAATAGGGGAAAAAAACAACAACGCTGTCTTAATTTATAATCAATAAAGTTAGCTCAAATCCCTTTCCCACCCACTATCTAGGCATATTTGAACAAATTTCTAGTCTTTCTACATTTAGATTCCTATTCTACAAAATGGCAATGATTACAGTAGCGACTACATCACAGATTATAGATGAATTAAAACAAGGCAAAGAGAATGAATACCATGTTGTAAATTGTATAGTTTATACAAGTTGTCATTAATCTGCTACTGAAAAGTCCTCCATGCCCCACAACTCAACAAAACTGATTTTCCTGAGATCATGGTATCTAGGCACTAATGGAAATACCATAAATATTATACAATTCCACTCAATAAATTCACCTACAGGAATAACCTATAGTTATTGACTATTATTTTTTACTTAGCGCATTACCGTGTGTTTTATAGCACATATTATCTCTTTGATACTCACAATTATTCTTTGAGGTAGGTATTATTACTGCTATTTTGCAGATGTGAAAACTGAGCCATATAGCAATAAAGTGGCTTGCCCAAGGCCACACAGCCAGTAATTGTAGAACTGCAATTCAGCCTGAGTCTTTCCAGTCCTCCAAGGTTCTTTCAACTACCTCACACTTCTTCAAAGTATTCACTAGTCTGTTCCTTTATAGCAAGAATATGCCAGAGCTAATAGAACTAATTGTCTCAAACTGTAAAGAGGTAGGAAACTACTTTTCTAAACTGAACTTTATGCTTCTGTTTCTGGAACAGCTTTGATCCTCCACACCCCATAGTTGTCAAGATGAGATTTCTTGTTTGAACTTTAAATATCTTTATTTCTGTATAAATAAAGCAAGCTTTCAATAGTTAACATCTTAGAAACTATCAAAAGAAAGCTAAGGGCTTACTTTCTCTGCCAAAATCATCACATACATTATTAAACTATAGAGCACCCATTTTGTGCAACAGTTCTGAAAGAAATTATCACTGATTCAACACTTCTTAAAATGCTGTTGCTGCTTATGAAAAGAAGAAAAAAGATAAAGGATATATTTGACTATTTGAATATTGTAATCACACAATATGGGGGCCTACGTCCTGAGAACAATGTGATACCCATTTGAGTTGTTGATAAGGTTTGAATGAGGATTTAGTGCCTACGTATTGCTGATCTTGTCTCTCTAATTCATAGGACAATCAATACAAGACTGAATAATGCTAACATTTAGTTCTCTCTAGATTATAAAGGTTTCTGTTTGTGATTTTAAAACAATGCCTTGGCATGAGAACAAAACACCACTCTTGAACTCCCTAGGGCTAAAGAATTTTTAGTGTCTTGGTGCTTCTGATCTGACTTCACACTATCAACTTTTATGGGTCCAGATTACAACTCATCCTGACCAGTCAAGCAGTTATTTGAGCAGTGGCAAATTACGTAGACACAAGACAGTCCTGTTGTTCATGATTTTTGTTTTCCTCTTGAGTTCAGCAAAGAGCAAAAGCAGTAGAAGGCAGAAGTAGCACTCCTGCCTCAAAGCAAGGAGGAATTTGCAAAACTCAAAACGGAGGAAGACTTATACACCTCTAAGTTATAGACAAAAGAAAAGAAATTGAAGATCACATTCTTCCTCTACCAAGCACTATGTCTCGCCCTGCACATAGAAGACCGGAATACCAAAAAATTGTAAGATCCTTTTATAAAGGAGCATTATTCTACTTCATAGAAGATGTTTTTTCTGAGCAATTCTTGATTTATTTTGAAAGGTGATGCTACAAGTAGAATTTTTCAGTTGAGCAAAGATTGGGTTTGGTGAAGCGTATCATAAATGACACCTCTGGGAATGGTTACAAATTATCTCTCACTGTAACTGAATAATCGATTCTTTATAGAGATTTTAGGGTCTTCTTTCCTGATTAATTACATCCATAAAAGTGAGGAATTTTCCTCTTGTCTCTGTGAGGAAATACAAAAAGATTAAGCAATTCTTTGTATTTCATATTGCATGAAATAAGAAATTAAATATATATAAAATAGTTAAATTTTATGTGTAAAATCAAATATGAGTAAGATCATCAAAAAAATGTAGGTGTTAAAAGATTACCTTTAAAAATTTATTTCGTAGTCTTAAATGTGTTTATATTTGCTCCGTGTTATTATTCTTTCTATTTTAAATTCAGAGTTTTTTTTTTAAATTTCATTTTGTACAGATTCAGTTAAGATAATATTCTTTTTTAATCCTCTCTCATAATAGCTTTAGCCATTTAGATGTTATAGATGTGAAAATCATGGTTAAGTTTAAAACTATGTTAATTACTTCAGGAGAATAATGGGCATTTGATGTAATTAAGTAATTTTAGCCTTGGGTACTTTGGGTTGTAGTGAGTAACTGGCACACCCCAATTGGAAATGCATGCAGATGCCCCCTGTCCCTGGCACTCTGGATCTTGATTTCTTTTACTATCAGGTTCTCAAATACCAAAAATTATTGTACATAGTTCATATTGTGTGTGTGTGTGTGTGTGTGTGTGTACCAGTAAAACATTTTTATCCTGATATAGCACAAACCTCTGAAAATAATTAAGTGTTCCATTTTTCACATATGAAAATTGTTGGTTGTTATGGTTTTAAAAACCATAAAAAATAAATAAATTTATTTTGACATTTCTTGGGATCTGTGGTGTGGATTTGAGATCCAACTGCACATGTACTTCAAGGTACAGCCTTTAGTCTTGAAACAAGAAAGAGTGTGTGTGGTAGGGAGTTGCCATTTTCTTAGTCTGACCTTAATTATAAATGGGCACAATACTGAGGCTATGGCTTGTAGGTGGGTTATAATATTTTCTCCTTTTCAAATTCTTTTGCTTTATGTCTAGTTGCAAGAAATACATTGTCATCCATGTTCTCTCTCTCTCTCTCTCTCTCTCTCTCTCTCTCTGCATTCTTCATCTTTGATATTTCTATGTTGTAGCATTGGTACATAGCCACATTTTGTTTTATTCTGTGGTTTCTTATATGCTAAGTAGATATAATTGCAGTCATTATTGTAATTTGTGATTAAGTTCATGGAAGATTTAAATAAGAGAATTAAAATTGAATACATGGTGACCCTTAGTGTTATGTTTAACAATATTTTTGTTCATATCACTTGCTTATATCCCTTATATCCTGGTAAAAATATTAACATATTCACTATTTTCCTATACCTGAATTGTATATATTACTGTAATATCAGTAAATATATAACATAATATCAATTAATTATAGGTAACATATATCCTATGTAAATTTATGGTATTTTGGGTTTTTTTTGCATAAGTATGTCATATATGACAAATAATATTTAGATTCTATTTATTTAAATTTTATTTAGTGTTAATAAATATCCTACCTGACTGAAGAAAGATGTTTGTCACAATATAAACCCATATGTAAGAGTCTGATGGTATTGAACCAATTTTGGAAGCTTTTGATCAAATTATGTAATATTTACAAAAGTAATTTGTTGAATAAGCAATCTTATTGATAAGTTTCTTAAAGGCATTCCTGCCCATGCTTTAAAAAAAAAATCACACAGAGGCCTTCTCTTCTCCTATATATTAGGTTATCCAAGATACCTGGACCTAGAGGTAAGGACACCTCTTCTAATCTGGAATCTACATTTGACTTTTCACACAAATAAAAGATTATGTGAAAAATAGACTTATTTTCAGTAGTGATCCTCCTTCTTACCTCTATCTCCTACCCACCTCTACTCCAAATAGTATCCTCCATCTTTGTCTACCTCAGTGATAAATGCTGCGTCAGAATGGAGGCTTGGAGTCTGACAGGCCTTTCTGGCTCTCACAATTGCAGGCTAGTTGGGCAAGTCATTCGGTTCTTCTGAAGCCTCATTCTCTCCTCTGGAGAAATGGCAGCATTGGAATTAATTATCTCTAAGATACCCTTCCCTTTTTCGGGTAGTACTCAATATTAGAAGCGATTACCAATGGATTGATTGAGCTTTGTTTTCTGTTTCCCATATATTCAACATCTATGCTAAATGATATCTAAATTGGCTTTGGTTTTAGTTTTCACTTGTAATTCACTCTATAAATGAGACATATTTTGGAAATTCCTAAAGAAAACACAAGCACCCCGCCCCCCACCAAACACACACACACACACACACACACACATACACCCACACACACACCCTTTTTTTTTTTAAGTAAAAAGAAAAAGAAAAAAAAAAACTCACAAATTTGCTGCTCCAGCTGGGTTCACCCTGAATTTCTCGTTGGCAGATCTGCTGCTCATTAAAGATTGTGCAGACTCAGGAGAAATCTCACCCAATTATTTCTTCCAACTGAAAACAGGGTCAGTACAAATCAAAGTTCATTTTAGAACAGTAGGAATTTGTATTAGAAATTAGTGATTAAAAATACTTTATCCATGAAATACATTGCAAGTTATATAATGTAAGCAAAGGCATAGAAAGATTCTCATGTTAAGAAACTGATTTCACAGGTCTTTCCACAGCACCAGCTAAGTATCCAAATGTAAGTACAGTTTGTTCTAAAAATGAAAAGGGTTGCAATAATAGAAAGATGGGAGAAAATGAACAGATGATCTCTGAGGCTGATTCTAACACCAAGATTTTGTAAAGAAAAGGAAGTAGGTAGGAAGGGGAAAGAAAAGAAAAAAAATACAGTAGTATATTGTTGTAACTTTGCCTATAACATAAAACCATCCCTTTTCCTACAGAACAAAGATCTCTTTGTCCTCACCTATGGAGCTTTGGTTGCCCAACTTTGTAAGGATTATGAAAAAGATGAAGATGTGAACAAATACTTAGATAAAATGTAAGTAGGCATCTTTTATTCTTATAGAATGTTTGTTGTCTCTTAACATCACCTACATTTTTCCTGCCTCTGATGACTTGCTCCATTTCACCAGCTCTTCTTCTGTGTCAATGAATCATATTGGAAAGCTGAATGTAATTTCTTACACTTGCCATTTGGATTGATACCAGAAATTAATGGGAAGGCATTTTTTCTCCATGAATATCAAACGTGGAATGTTTGTTGTTAGAAATTATTTCTTCATTAGCCACTGTAGTGGCAAGACTGAAGTAGCTCTTTTAATAATGTGATAAAGCATCCAATTTGATCTTTTCAGTAGTCTTTTTTTCTAACATTGACTCCTTACAATGTATATATTTACTTGCAGAAGCATAGACCATCTAAGGAAGCATATGCAAAAATGTTATTATAATTGCCTAAAAGAAGACTGGGTGATAGGGAATTATGGGTTGAAGGGAGAATTTCTTTTTCCTATATAACATTTCCATTGTTTGAATGTTTTTGCCCTTACTATAATTTACTTTAAAATATATTTTAAATATAAAAACACACTTCTTAATAAGCCCATTCTCTTTTGTCTTTATTAATAGAGATTCCTCATGCTCAAATTTCACCTTTTAATTTCCTCAGAATAATTATATGATCATCAGATTATTTCCAAACAATGAAATACCTGTCAACATCTTTTTAACCTCTTAATTGTGGGCTCTGAAAAAGGACTGGAAAATATGCACTGGTTAGAAGATTTACTTAGGCAGATTGAAGGGGAAATTTAGCCTAGCATTTTAGGGCTTTCTAAAAGGGCCCGTTGTATTTTCCATTGGAATACGGGGGGGTGGGGGGGTGGGGAAAGAAGAAAAAGAAGAAGAAGAAGAAGAAAGAAGAAGAAGAAGAAGAAGAAGAAGAAGAAGAAGAAGAAGAAGAAGAAGAAGAAGAAGAAGAAGAAGAGGAAGAAGAAGAAGGGAAAGCTTGAAATTTTTTTAAAAATTTAACTCTTGTTCCTCCATATATATATTCTCATTTTTTCCTTTTGGAAAATTCATTTTCATTTTGGTATACAAGCCTGCCCCCTCCACTCCCCATTTCCCCCCTCTAATTTTTAAAATTTGTTCTGTTTAGTTATATATGACAGTTGAATCTCTCTCTCGTTTCTTTATATTTCTTCTTAATTATTTGGAAGTGTTCAAAAAGCAGCAAACATCCCAATTACCCACAAATGGTCATTGCAGTTTCTTCCTCAGCTGAACTGTCTACAGCTGTGGGAGCTGCTAAAGCTGTTTTTGCCTGTGGTCACACTTCAACATCTGACAGTAGTAGCATTCCCAAAAGTTATCCGTTTATTTGACTTACATTACATTTGCATTGTTTTGTGGAGTAGCTGAAGAAAATTAAGAAGCTGATTTAACTAAAAAATACGTTTGGTGAACTAATTGAGTGCACATTTTAACAAATGTGAATGGAATATTAATTAAAAAATAAATTTGGAGAGGCTGTAGGAAGGCTTTATGAAAAAAAATCACACTTGAATTTCTTTAATAGCTTCTGGGAGTGTCTTATATTTTTAAATTGATTTATAAATATCTACTTTGTAGAATCATATTCTTTGACCAAAGCAAGACATGCAGTATAATGCCCTGCTCATAACCTCTGGCTTCCCATCGCTGTTCCAGTGGCTAAGTCTATGGCTCTGCATAATGTTAAATAGAAAATACTGGAAATATCTTTTAAAACTAGTTTAACTTTCTTTTAAAGTAAATGTTCTGTTCTTCAAGTATCTTTTCAGTGTGAACACATCCTGGTTAGAATTATAAACCATTTTTTCCTCAGAAGTCTCAAGTAAGCTAAATGGACTATTTCTATCCACTCATAAATATAAATAGAACTTCTCACTAGATTTAGTGCTCACTCTGATGTCAAATCCATCTCCCCCAAGTCACCAATGATCTCATGCTTTTTTTTTAGATCCTCTGAAACAATCACTACCTCTAAAAACTGTAATGTCTTTAGTTTGTTGGGCCCTCTGCTGCTCCACCCAAATCATTTTACTTGTGTATGTACTTGTGGCTATGAAATTAAAGACTTTTTTCCCCATTAGTTTGACAAAAACAGCATTCCTTTATTTTTCACCCTTAAGGTTCTATTTCTTCAATTGAATTGCAAGTTCTTATATGAAAGAGACTGATTTTTTTTTTTTTTTTTTGGTGTCCCTTTCAGAAATTTCACAGTTTCAAGGAGTGTGCTTAACCATCTTAGCCACATATTCAGTTGTGTTATCACATATCAATAAAGGCTTTCAGAATTGTACTTCAGGCACTGTCCAAACCACTTACTTGGGGTACCATTAACAGATAACAGCGCCTCCACCCCAAGCTCCATCATTCCAGCTTCTCTAGAAAGAGACACGAGCTTTCTTTTTTTTTTTTTTTTAATTTTTTATTGTTGGCTGTTCAAAACATTACATAGTTCTTGATATATCATATTTCACAATTTGATTCAAGTGGGTTATGAGCTCCCATTTTTACCCCATATACAGATTGCAGAATCACATCAGTTACACATCCATTGATTTACATATTGCCATACTAGTGTCTGTTGTGTTCTGCTGCCTTTCCTATCCTCTACTATCCCCCTCCCCTCCCCTCCCCTCCCCTCCCCTCCCTCCCCTCTTCTCTCTCTGCTCCCTCTACTGACATTCGTTTGTCCCCCTTATATTATTTTTCCCCTTCCCCTCACTTCCTCTTGTATGTACTTTTGTATAACTCTGAGGGTCTCCTTCCATTTCCATGCATTTTCCCTTCTCTCTCCCTTTCCCTCCCACCTCTCATCCCTGTTTAATGTTAATCTTCTTCTCCTGCTCTTCGACCCTACTCTGTTCTTAGTTGCTCTCCTTATATCAAAGAAGACATTTGGCATTTGGACATACAGTCAATCAACAAGTACATGAAAAAATGCTCACCATCTCTAGCAGTCAGAGAAATGCAAATCAAAACCACCCTAAGATACCATCTCACTCCAGTTAGATTGGCAGCCATTATGAAGTCAAACAACAACAAGTGCTGGCGAGGATGTGGGGAAAAGGGTACACTTGTACATTGCTGGTGGGACTGCAAATTGGTGCAGCCAATTTGGAAAGCAGTATGGAGATTTCTTGGAAAGCTGGGAATGGAGCCACCATTTGACCCAGCTATTCCCCTTCTCGGTCTATTCCCTAAAGACCTAAAAAGAGCATGCTACAGGGACACTGCTACATCTATGTTCATAGCAGCACAATTCACAATAGCTAGACTGTGGAACCAACCTAGATGCCCTTCAATGGATGAATGGATAAAAAAAATGTGGCATTTATACACAATGGAGTATTACTCTGCATTAAAAAATGACAAAATCATAGAATTTACAGGGAAATGGATGGCATTAGAGCAGATTATGCTAAGTGAAGCTAGCCAATCCCTAAAAGACACGAGCTTTCTTAATTGGCTATTCTCCTGGCTCACTCACTCACACATACAGTAAAATTCAGAGTCCCAACTGCTAAGACCTTCACTAGCAATGAAAAGTATTTCTCTGATCCTTGTTTTCCATCTGTCAGAGCCTGCCCTCGTAACTGTGCTAAGAGTGAGCACCCAGGGGCCACACCCAAAGCAGACAAGAGGGCTAGAATCTCAGTCTGTTTCTGTTGGTAGGTAACATTAGGCTACAGATACCATCGCTGTTCCAGTGGCTAAGTCTATGGCTCTGCATAATGATAAATAGAAAATACTGGAAATATCTTTTAATACTAGTTTAACTTTCTTTTAAAGTCTTGATATGGTGCCCTAAGCGTTTCTCAACTGCCACTGTCAAGTTTTCCAGTCTCACTCTAGTCAGGCTCCTATGCTTAGAGGAGACTAGTTAATATTTCCTGGATCTGTTGCTCTCTGCTTCTGTGGGACAGATACAAAGCCCACTGTCAAAGGCCATTTGACTCATTATATTTGGTTTATTTGTTATCCACGTGTGCAGACCACACTCCTTCCTTCATCCACAGGGGCTATGGCATTGGAACACGGCTGATTGAAGACTTTTTAGCTCGATCCTGTGTGAGAAGATGCCATAGTTATTCAGAAATTACGGACATAATTGCCCAGGTAAATGCATTTTTATCTCTGTCATGTTTTGAGAGTCTTTGGGGTTTTTTTCTGAGTTTTCTGCTTGGATTGGACAGGTTCCGTCTGTATACATTGCTAGGTGCTGAGAAAGGGGATTCTGATTAAAAAGCATTTTATTTCAGCACAAAGATAAAGCTATTGAAAACTGAAAGAGAAATTCTTCCAGGCATTTAAGCATCTATAGATTTTCCTGACTACAGGGCGTGTGTGGAGTGTGTGTCTCAGGCTGGAAAAAAAAAATGTTTTGAGAAGGTAAAGAGAAGAATGTAACAGGGAATTTTGTTATGTGCATGACCACATCTAGTTTCCTTCTGTTGTCATTTTCAGCACATGTAAGAGATAGTGTTTGGCAATGTCAGAGAAAATTGCTGTAGTCATTTCCCAAGAGAAAAATAAAACTTCCTGTAAATGCATATTTTCTAACATCTTTCACAGCCTTGATGTGTGGGAGACAACTTGGAATCATCCAATACTAGCTCAATTTAATTTTTTTTTAACCAGGGATTGATTGAGCTCAGGAATTCTCAACCAAGGAGCCATATCCTCAACACCTCCCCCCCTTAAATTTGTTTTAAATTTAGATACAGGGTCTTGCTAAGTTGCTTAGCTCTCACCAAATTGTTAAGGCTGGCTTTGAACTTGCAATCCTCTTGCCTCAGCCTCCCAAGCCACTGAGATTATGGGGTATGCTATGTGCCCAGCACTAACTTAACTTTCTTAGATAAAAGACTGTGAAATGCATCTGCAGCCAGCATTTATTTAATCCACAGACCTGTGGTTAATGTTATTAATTTGTTGGAGACCCAGAAATTGTGCATGGATATGAAATATTTAAGAAGTCTTGATATGGTGCCCCAAGGTTCACACAATGTCAAATTAGCTCAAGTCTTATTTTTTTTTTCTTGACCCTTAGTATTGTTTACATGGCACACTTCCCACAAATGGTTTTAATACTACCATATAGTGCTCTGTGGTTCTAAATGCAGTTACTTAATTTCTTTCATCCTAATAGTAGTTCTGTGAAATAGACAGAATAGGAGTTATTATCCCCATTTTCCAGATAAGAAAACTGGGTCCCAGGAAGCATCTGATGAAATTGAATGATAGTGTATATGAAAAAAATTGTACATTTGAGGCACAATCCAAATGAAAGTTTTTTCTATTTATTGATATTGTTACTTATTACTTCATGATTAGTGAATCATGTGACTGAAATTGGAATCCAACTTTAGCACAGTGAATTTACTACATCATTAAGCAGATTTTTTAAGAAAGTTATTTTCCATATGTATTGGCAGAATATAAATAAACTCCTAAAACAGTGGTTTAGTTTTTTCACTAAAATGATTTTATGGGCAATAACCAAGAATGCTAGCTAGCCATTTTAATGGGAAATAGATACAGTAGTTGAAATATAGACATGAAATGTCAGTGTTTGCTGTATTTCTGTTTTTCTAGTTAGTGCCCTCTCTCTTGGCCTTTTGACTAGTAAGGCACCTTCTTTCTGTAATGATGATGGTCAGATTGCTTTGAGAATGACGCCCCTTTAATATTTGCCTAAATTCATCCCATTGGTTGATAATTTGAAAAATCATATAATGTGGAACATAAAACCTGATTCTTACATTTAAAGTTGTTTGCCAGGCTTTGGTATCTGAAAAAGAAAATAATTTCCAAGGCTGAAATAAGACTCCATTCTAAAATTATGCTAGCATAACCAGTCCAAGTTTTAATTTTTTCCTCAGGATATGTTTATATATGTATATATTTTCCATTTAGCGGTATCTTATGTTTAAAATGAGATGATTAGAGATGAGTTTAAAAATCTGTTGAGTAAAGAACAATATCTACTGAACATGGAGGCATATACAGCCTCATTCCTGAGAACCTGGAACTATTTTCTGTCATGCAATGGAAGATCAGAACTCATCTGAAATGTGCTCAATACTGTAAATGCTCTTACCAGGAGAATCTTGGCTGCTGGTCTAACTGAGCAGCAGTTAGAGTAGTGTGCTGATGGGGGAAGGTGCTGTAGTTCCCTCTTATGGTTTTTCTTGGCTCTGACTACAGAGGCCAAGTCAGTGAAAGGCTTCTGTGGACTCTAAAGGAATAATTCCATGTATCCATTTTAATCAGAGAAATGTTAAGAAAACTAGGCTTCTCTAGCAAGTGGGGATGGGGAGTTGGGTGGGGTGGGGAGAGTCAGTATAAGAAATAACTTTTTTACCAGTATTATCTTTTTCAAAATAGCTGCTAACAAATATCCCATAAAAGTTATTCCCAGAGGTAGCTAAGAAGATGAGAAGTCTCACATGGAACTTTCTTATTACCTGTGGTCCTCTACCAACAGACCCTGATGTGTGGGAGACAACTTGGAATCATTCAATACTAGACCCTGTTCATCTCAGGAAAAGCACAAAGCTGAGAATCAAAGTAATTAAGCCAATAAGAAATATGATACCTGTTTATTTAGGGCCTTACCCAGGACTTGTTACTTGGTAATAATCAGTAGAAATTAGTTAGAGAAAAAGAAAATAAGAAGGGCAAAAAAGATGAGAGGAAGGAAAGATGATGAGAGGTAAAAGGAAGAGGAGGGAAGAAAGAATGAAAGCTCTCTTTGGTTCAGGCCCCTTGGGAAGAGAGCTTTTCTTCAGCAGGAATGTTCCTTAGCTTCCCACCACACTTAAGGGCTCCTTGAGTCCCTTTCATGAGGAACCATGCATTTCACCTAACAACGAAGTCTTCAGTGTGCAGAAATTAAATCCCATTCTGCGTACCAAAGTAAAGGAAAAAAAACAAAAAAAAAAAAAAAAAAAAAAAAAAAACGGCTAAAGATGAGCCTAGTGAGAAAGAGAGAAAAAGGATTCCTATCTCAGCCAAAAAGAAAAAAAAATTCCCACAGAGTGCCTCCTATTTTATAAAGCATATTCTGCCTTTAAAAAAGTAAAGCAGTTTCTAAAGATATCTGACCTCCCAACAGTGGGCCTAATTTTCATCAGGTTAGAAGCGATTCTACTTGATATAAAACCAGAAACATGTGCATCTGCTTTCCAAATATCCTTTCCCTAAACTTTTTATGTCTTTCCAACCATTCTGACATCTTGCAAATTTTTGTCTGACATCTTCTGTTCTCAGTGAGCTGGGAAAATTCCCTTTGCACTCCCATGCAAGATTCTCTCTGGGCAGTAAAAAATTTCATTACCTTCATCCTTCTCGTGTGCATAGCAATTGTCTCATACTCTTTGAAGGCCTGATTTTTTTCCCCTTTTGATTTTCACTTCTCCAGAAAAATGTTCTTTTATGTCTGGTGATGATGTCACCCATTCCAGGAGCATTTTGACAGAGATGAAGGGTCAGACTTTAGTTATGTACTCACCCACCGGTGCTTTGCTTATAATTAGCAGCTTCCATTAAAAGATCTGGCCTTTGGCATCATTATCTCATTAATTCTTGTGAACTCTCCTCAGAGGAGGCAGGTAGCAAATGTAACTGAGTCAGTTTTATAGAGAACTAGGTCAAAGTCAGCAGAAGCATAGTCACGTGTTGCCCTCACATTGTGGTGGAGTCAGGAGTAGAACCCAATGGCTGTGCTTTCTTCGTGGTTGCCTTGTTAGACCATACATTGTAGAGTACATCAGAACTGAGCACCTAAATACCATATGCTCTCTCCTGGCTCTAGAGAAGAAAAGAGAGGAGAATACATTTGAATAGACTTGACTAGATGAAGAAACCCATGTTCTGCCTAGGGAAGCAATTCCTCTGAGTTAGTTAGCGAGAGCCTGCTGGTAGGCCAGATCTTTGAACTTTCACTCCACTCTGCAACCCTCTGCCTTCCCACCAGGAGGACTGTGTAACTTCAGATACTAATAACATTACCCGCTCTCTTGTTTTTCTCACTTTGCCTTTTTCAAAAGGGATGTCTTTATCAGTAGGCATCTGGCAAAGTCTTTTAATGTTAGGCCTCAAATTTCATAATCCAGTGGTCTGAAAAGAAATTTCATGAAAGAGTCCAAACAGTTGATCAAAAAAAAGAAAGAAAGAAAGGAAAAAATATTTTGTAGGCCTTACAGGACTCATATTTTGCATATGAAAAGAGATGACAAGCTAACTCTAAATTCTACTTTGTAAAAAATTAAAATGGATCCTTAAAACCTTAAAACGTGATTTTGTCAAATACTAGTTTGCAATTTTTGATCACATTCAAGTACACCTGAAAATATTAAATAAGATATAATAATAGCTCTCCATATCCATGGTTCCACAAATCAAAAAAATTTTGAAAAAAGTTGCACATGTGCTGAACACATAAGGAATTTTTTCTTGTCATTATTCCTTAAACAATACAGTATCACAAATATTTATGTAGCATTGACATCATATAATGTATCAAGAGAAATCTAGATGTGATTTAAAGTATACAAGAGAACTGCACAGGTTATATGCATGTGCTATGCCGTTTTGTATAGGGAATTGAGCATACACAGATCTTGGTACCCAAGGGAGGGGAGGGAAGGCAGGGGTTCCTAGAACAAATGTCTTGCAGATACTGAAGGATGGCTATGATTTCTAAATGTTGTAGCAGCATTTAGCAACATAATATTGAAAACCTCTCATAATGCAGAGGATTTATTCATGAAAGTTCACAATAATTCCTACCTATCACCTATATTCACCTTACAAGAACCTTGTGAAGTTAAAAAAAAACTATCATTAGCCCCATTTTATTGATAGTAAAATTATTACTGATATCTATATCAGTAATAATTATATATTACTGACAGTGTAATAGAGACTTATGATATTACCAAAGATACATAAGAAAAGCACTCCCCAAGAATTTAATTCTTCTGATCTTATTTCAGTGCTTTTTTTTTCACAAATTCATTGTTCAAATATACATTTGAAATTTGCCCTGAGCAAAATTTTGTAGTTTTTCCAAATAAAATATGTAATTTGTGGCAGAATTATTGTAGCTGATT